AAGGAAGGAAGGAAGGAAGGAAGGAAGGAAGGAAGGAAGGAAGGAAGGAAGGAAGGAAGAAAGGAAGGAAGGAAGTAAAAGAAAGAGATGTTAATAGACAGAAGGACTATATCCCATTCTTTTTTCTCCAGGAACTCAAATCTGCTTCCAGGGATTTCCTCTTAAATGTGCACAAGAATCCTGCAATATAGTTTGAGCTGAGAGACAATATTACTTTCCTCAAAGGTAACCAAGAAATTTGCAGGGCTAACAGTGAACTCAAATCTTGAGTCGCCATAGTCCTAGTCCACTTCCTGAAGCAGCATGAAACAGGTGCAGCTTTGATGCGCACATGCGCGGACAAAACAGAGAAAGAAAATGGAAAGAGTCACCCAACTCCAACCTGGCTTGACACCCCCAACCCACCCCTGTCACAACTACCCCTCTGCTTCTCCACAGCCATTGGGGTGATGGAAACTACCAGGTGGGAAGAGAGGGGAGGAAGAGCATCTCACCTGAGAACTGTTGGCAGGGAAAGCCACCACGTAGGGGACGTCCATGATTTTCAGGTCGTAGGAGTTCCCGTTGAGCATGACTGACGGCCGGTAGATGTAGCGGTCCTCTGTGGGGTCGTACTTCTCCGCGAAGTCCTGGTACAAGAATTGGCGGACGATGGCGGTCTTGCCAACTTTGGGAGCCCCCAGCACGGCCACGGTCAGCGTCTCCCCCATGGTCTGCCTTCAGCACCACGGAGAGCTCCCCAACCGCCGCCGCCGTTGCTCCTCCGAAGGGCCGCCTCGCGCGTCCTCCGCGCCATCAACCCCTTCGCCTGACCCCTCTCGCGGCTCTCACGACGATCAGCTCCACCGGCCTCCTGAGTTAACCCGTGTTCCGGCTTCCCACGCTACGCGGAACCGTAAACAAACCATTTAGGCTGGGTTGATGCTGAGCCTCCAGAAAGAAGCGCGGGGGGGGGGGGGGACACACCAAGGCTACGAACGAGCCGAGTTGAACATGTTAGGCACGTCAAGGTGGGTGCCAGCCAGGTTCGTAACGGACTCCTGAAGCGCCTTGCGTGGACCCAGCTGGAGGCTCACCACACCCCACGTTCTCCTCCCCCCAAGATCCCAGAGCTCCGAGGACCGCTCCCGCTGAATCCGACTCCTCCGTCTCCCAGGCGAGTCGACCCCGAGTTGCTTCTCCGCTGCGTCTTCCCTGCCACGGGCAGCGTCCCTTCTTTGCTCTAATCCGAGAGCTCAGACCTGATCCGGATCTAGGACGGATTCCGACGGCGTGGCAACGAAGGGAGAAAGGAGCTCAGCCGATGAACGGAAGCAAAGTCCTCCGAAGTGGAGCTGAGTTGGGGA